ATGTGATGGAAACAAGAGAAACAACCTGTTTCCAGCCCTGACTCAGAGAAGCCCTGAGTCTGAGCACTTCCCTCCTGCTCACTGTTTCCTACTTCCTGTCCCTCCCTAACAGCACTGTCAGTTTCCCCAAGGTTATCTTCTAGATCGTCTCCTCTTCCTCTCCCATGACACCATCCCTCTCCACTGATGGTGGCTGTCTGCTTTAAATCAAAAGGTTTGAGATTAAGCAGTTTTACTAGCATTTGCTGAGTACAGAATCTGGCGGTTACTAGGTGCCCTATAAACTGTACCGAATGAATAAAACAGCCTATCCAATGAGATGATGAGACATTTGAGAGGGGATAAGCCCTATTCTCCTATTTTTCAAGAATCAGAGGACTAGCCTGGCCACTGGAGAGATCTGTGAAGATGCAGCTCCAGCATTTGACTTTCCAGGCACTCCCAGGAGCCTCATCCCACAGTGAATGTTCAAGTTTGTCGACAGGAAAAAGAAACTGGTTTCCAGCCCTGGGAGAGCAGAAGCAAAAGCACTCAGCTTTGTTCCACTCCCCCTTTCCTGTGTGGAGGTGGAAGGACAGACTGCCTGGGCACTGTGCTCTGCAGAACCACGGCAGCAGCCTCTGGAAAGGCAGAGCCTCTGTCAGTCAGCCCTTCACACACAGTGACCCCAGCAGGGTCGAGGGCGCCTTGGCCATACTCCACGACAGGTGAGACCCAGCACCGCTGTCCTGCAGCTGAGCCTGGTCACCAGGGTATAGGACCTTACAAAACTTGTCTAGACTCAGTGGCTGACTCACACAAGTTGTCCTCCCAGCTACTCAGGAGGCGGAGGCAAGAGGCTCAGTAGTTCAAGGCCAGTTTGGACAAGAAACCCTGTCTCAAAATTTTTAAAAAAGGACTAGGTATAGTTCTGTAATAGCACCCTTGGCAAGCACTCAGGAGGTCCCAAGATTGATTTCCATCCTTAACTTCAATTCCAGGGGATCTAACACATGCTTCTCACCTTTATCACCATGCACAAATGTTAGACACATACATACATTCAGGTAAAGCACTCATACACATAAATTAAAGTAAAAAAATGTAAAAAAAAAATTCATTAAAATGTCAAGCCTTGCCAGGTGGTGGTAACACACACCTTTATCCCCAGTGCTAGGGAGGCAGAGGCAGGAGGATCTCTGTGAGTTTGAGACCAGCCTGGTCTACAAAGCAAGTTCCAGGACAGTCAGAGTTACACACAGAAACCATCTCAAAAAGAAAAAGGAAGGAAGGAAGGAAGGAAGGGAGGAAGGGAGGAAGGGAGGAAGGGAGGGAGGAAGGGA